TGGCATGGCATGCCCATCGGGAATGGGTTAATAGTATCATCAAGTGTATTATGAATAGTCCTTTATTACCCTTTATAGTAGTAGTTCTCAACCTATGGACTCATCATCATCCATTACCATCAAAGTATATTTTGCTCCACCTAGTTATGTTTTCAACCAGAAACTGTCCTAATGTTTAAGAATGGAAAGCTGTAATTTTAGGGGCAAGAATTCTACATCTGCTGAATCTTACATGACAGGCTTGGATAGGAATTGTGATGGATTTGTCTCATGACACACAGGTTGAAGAAAAAGAAAATAATATTGCAAATATACTTTTTATGATAAATGGTAAAATTGTGGCTTGTTACACTTAAATGCAAGCTTTTACTAATGTTTTTTTTCTCTTCTGTTTCAGCTCCATACCTTATAGAGAGATTTTCTTAATGAAGAGGAGCAGCAAGGAGAATTGGCTTACAGACCTTTTTATAAGAAATAGATACTGGGGCAGTGCTGAATGTTTTTAAGCAAACATACTTTTGTAATAAATAAATAAGTAAATAGATATAAAAAAAAATCCCATTATTTTTCCCTGAATTTTAATTTAGTATCATCTAATCATTGCATGTGGCTGTTTTCATTGCATTTTAACAAGTTTGTCTTTTAAACACATGTAAAGTGAAATATATCAAGAAATCAGTTGTATATCATCCCACAATATCATTTTGAAAGTCCACACTTGGAATTATATGACATTATATGATGAAACCTTATAATGATTCATAATAGAAAGGGCAATACAGAATGTAATTATTATTTTTCTCTTTCTGAATCATTATTGTTTTTCTATCAATGTTAATTAAGTAAATACTTGCAATGAATAATAATAATTAAAAAAAAATGGAGAAGAAAGCAAAGATAATAAGGAGCCATTAGAAATTTTATCCTTGTCATAATTGGTGAATAATCAATTAAGAAACATATTTCTGTATGTTCATATTATTATGAAATTAGTAGAAATTAAAATTATGAAAAGGAAATATACAGTTTGTCAAATGTAACCACATAAACCTAAGATTCATTAAAAAAAAAAAAACTTACATGAACTGGGACAGAACAAATCTGCTTTAATGACATTACCTTTAACTGCATATATACAGGACTGGGTAAGTTGGGGGTATTGATATCAGCCAAAATTTATCATTGACAATCTTCATGGATATAGTGACATACCCATCTGATTAAATAGTAACAATGAACTCAGAGGAAAGGAGAGGGAAAGAATGAATTTGATTTGATAAATTTATTTACATAAGTGTACATACCTTTAAAAGAGCCAGGGTAAGATCCCAAAATATCTGTTCAAACTAGCAGTACTTCTATGTAGAAGAATTCAAACATGTGTTCTACATGCCTGAAGGGCTGTGTAATTGTGCTTACATTATTCACATATAATATATAAGTGCTCTGGAGTCCATTATAGACTTTAGAAAGTTTGTCCTCATCTGATGTACCAGCAATACTCTCACAATGCTAGATGGTACCCAGTCCATTCTTCCTTAGTTTTTTGGTGGTCCATACCTGACCCTCACAATCTGGAAAACAGCTGATAAGTTTTTTTTTTCATTTGTTTAAGATATACTGGTACTACACAGTTTGGTTCTTCATGGTAAAGTATTAATTTGTCACAGGATGAAATTCCTACATGAATGGGTTTCCAGTGGTGTGACATTGGTATATCTGATAGTCTTGGTGAAGGCTATTCCCAGCTATCAT